ACCCTCGGTGTTGCACCCATACCTCACTCAGCCAGTGAGCGGCCGGTCTGTATGTGGGATCTGAACCTTCGGCGGGAGCGCCTCCGCACTCCCAAGTGGCGCACTGTAGCAGTACGCCACCGGGCCGGCCCCCTACTTAGTAAATTCTAAGCATGAGACTCAACTGCTGGTTTACTAGCCTTAATTTTCTTGAAGTGGTCAATTTACTTTCCTAGAAAATATTGCTTTGCCCAAAGTGTTGAGCAAGATTGAGGAGGAAGTCATAATTCTTCTTTAAGACATCTCACACATCCTTATATTTTTTAAAGCTTTACGTTTTTTTCCTTTGGCAGGTTGTTTTCATTGCATATGAGTATGTAGTCTTCTTCCTGATGTTTGTTTCTACTCAGGCAGGCTCAGGTTCAGGGTGATGGTTCTGTGTACTCTTTGTTACCAGCAAAAGGCCTGACTTGAATGTTTCCATTTTTGTTCGGTCTCTAGGTAAAGACCAGCGCAGTAAGGTGATCCTGCAACCTCTTCTAGTCACGGGTGTCCCCTGGCTTACTAACATTGGATTTCTTACTCTATTTTTCTGATTCTTGAGATGCTATCTCAGAGTTTTTCTTGGGTTCTCAATGTACTGCATGTTCCCAGAGTTAACAAAGATTTATTTTACACAGCCTACATAATAGTGGTCTTGTTGAAAAGTTTGACAAAGGCCTTGTCAGCAACTATAGCTGTAGTATCACGTTCTTTGTCTAACTATATTTTTTTTGGACCAAATTAATAGGAGGAACTGGATTTCTTTAAACAATTCTAAGAAAGCCTTTTAGAACAGTCATGATTCTACATGACCAAATCCTGCTCCCTATGTGAAAAGGTGGATTCCTGTCAAATGAAGAACTATGACCTGCTTTGAGAAGTTATTTTTAGAAATCTTTTTAATAATTTGTTGCATTCAAGTTGTGTTTTCACTGAGCTTTGAGATAGATGTCCAAGAACTATAACTTTGCAGGCTATATTGGGAGCAGTTCCTAAATGTTGTATGGCAGAAAAGGCCAGTCAGAACCCAAAGGCATCTTCAACTTTTAGCTCCACAGGCTTTAATTTTTCCTTGGATATCCAGGAAACATCACAGACCTAAAAAAGATCGGACTACACTCTTCCTTTGAGACCACTTGTTTTTTGTCCATGTTAAAATCAGCTTACCTGGGAGATTTGTGGGTTTCTGATTTGTCTGGATTGCATATAGTCTTTGCTCTGTGTAAAATTGTTCAGGCTGAACATTCTTTCTAATATATCTTCTCATAAAATACCTCATTATGAAGACTCTGTGGGTGCCCTTTGCATTTAGAATCAAAAGTGCTTTTTATTATCTGATGAATTAATAAAGATTTCTAACCACATTTCCTCTGGAGGAAAAGCCCTGACATGTTTGTTCAAAATGAAAATGGCTCCTGTGTTTGGGAATGCATTTCCAAATCAAATAAACTGCTTTCAATATTAAAAGCAAAGAAGTAAGTTAAATGTAACAGTGGTATTCTCCAGGTTATACAGATGGGTGACAAATCTGGTAAACTAAATCACAGGATTCTCCATCTTGTGGGCAGAGTGCCTTTCATCAAAGCATAAACTGGTCTTTAAAAGTTGGGCTCCCTGCATCTTCAGTCAGATTGTCTGTCTTGTAGCTAGTTTATTTATGTAGGCTCCCTTTCTGCTCTCCATAATAATTTAATTCCTATCCAGAAGGCTGCAGAATGTGGAGAATAACTCAAGTTTAGAGCATTCCTTGGCTTTTGAGCTGTAGATGTTGGTGCCAGCTCTGTGTCTGTGCATGTGCAACATTGCCCTCTGGAGGCAGAGATGTGACTCAATTTCTCATGATCACTTGGAACCTTGTGCAAAACAAATATCCAAAAGATAAATTTTCAAGTTACTGTGGGGCATGATGACTTGGAGGCCACGAATTAGAACCTTCCTACAGCACATGGTATTTGTGGCATCTGGATATATTTTCAGCCTCTCCTGATCCACCACACTGACCATATATGTTCAAGAGACATGGTCAAGGCTCAGTGTTAGAAAAGTGCATGAATGTGAATCTGTGGTTAAAATAAACACCCTTCCCACAAATTAACCTATTTTGGATTTAAACTTATGCTACTTAATGGACGTATAGAAGACTATTATTAGAGTGCAAGTCTCCTTCCCTAATTAACTCTAAGAATAAGTTGACATTTCAAAAAATAAGTGAAAAAAATATTCTAAAGTGCTAAAGGAATAAAAATCAAATGGGATTTTAATAAAATGTGTATGGTGGATGCCACATGTTATTTTCAGGATGTGAAGGGTGTTTAGAAAAAAAATAAAAATAAATAGTCTTTGATTCCCCTTTCTTAGGATGTTTTAATGAGTTTGGCCAAAGCTGTTGCCAATGCTGCTGCCATGTTGGTACTAAAGGCGAAGAACGTTGCCCAAGTGGCTGAAGACACCGTCCTACAGAACAGGGTGATCGCTGCTGCCACCCAGTGTGCCCTTTCCACCTCCCAGCTGGTGGCATGTGCCAAGGTGAGCCAGCTGGCCACCCAGCCCTTTCTACAAAGTGTCACGTGCTCTTATATGCCTTCAGGCATTTGGGGAAGCAGGGCAGAATTTGTTAAAATGGAGACTTAGAGCTTGCTTCTGATGTCATTTTCTTAGGAGATATGATAGGATTTTAGCATAAGCTGCCTAATTCTGCCCTAATCATTTGTTCCTTGCCCAAGTCCTCAGGCAATTGCTATTTTTCTCTAATCCATTTCTATATGCAAATTGCTATGTCTCCTCAATGGATCTTATTTACACCTGCACAAAGTTTTTGCATAGTGGGGTACGACTTTATAAATGAGTTCCAGAATAATCCACAGAGTTTATGGGGGCCCTTTCTATACTGCACAGTGTCTGAGTGAGGATGTCATTTGTTACCAGGGTGTACACACTCTGTGTGTCATATATCACCTCATTAAGTCTCCCTAACAATCCTGCAAATTAAGCACCATTATCCCTAGTTTACTGAGAAGGAAACTGAGGCCCTTAAATGTTAGTGAGTAGCTTAGTGCCACAGAAGTAGTAAGTGGCAGAACTGTGGTTATAACTCGGGTCTTTCCAACCCCAAGTACCCTTTCTATTCCACCACGTGTGTCTTCATGATGATGCATCAGAAGACAGGAAATGTTTGTTTCTGGACTTGCTGATGTATCACGTTGTGTAAATCTGTGATCTGGCTCTGCCTGGCATCTCATGTCCTATGGTAGGGTTTGCAGCATCAATTGGAGGTGTCCTTGGTGGTCTCTTGCTTTCTTTGTCTGCCTTGCTAGGATCTACACATAGCTGACAGCCCTGCCCCCCTTTCTTTAAAGTACAGTGAGGCAGAATTCCAGATGTCTCTGGAAAAAGAAGTACAATTCTTTTCAGGAATCATCTTATCCCAGCTCACAAGACTCACTTCAGAGGATCCCCAAAAGAAGGTGGTATACTTGGCAAATATCAGAAATTTCTCTCTATGGAAGTAATCACTAGTATGAATTGTCGTACATGACTAATGCAGATATAAATGAGCGGGACATCTAAAATCACAAAGAACGTAAAATAGTGAAGTATGAGAAACCTCAGCAATGGTTTAGTTACATCTCTAGTCCTGTATGTAAGGAACTGAGGCCCTGAGCATGAAGGGACTTGATGGCAATGCTGGGCACACTGGGGACCAGGAATCATCTGCAGTGCCCAAACCCGCTCCTGTGTCACTTCAGGTGGTGAGCCCCACCATCAGCTCCCCCGTGTGCCAGGAACAGCTGATTGAAGCGGGGAAGCTGGTGGACCGCTCGGTGGAGAACTGCGTCCGTGCCTGCCAGGCAGCCACTGATGACAGCGAGCTCCTGAAGCAGGTCAGCGCAGCGGCCAGCGTGGTCAGCCAGGCCCTGCACGATCTCCTGCAGCACGTGCGACAATTTGCCAGCCGAGGCGAGCCCATCGGCCGCTACGACCAGGCCACTGACACCATCATGTGTGTCACTGAGAGCATCTTCAGCTCCATGGGCGACGCTGGTGAGGCACTGGGTGGTGAGCGGGTGGTTGGGGTTCCCTGACAGTGGTGATCACCCTTAGGAAAGGGGAAAGCAGCCTGGGTGACTCCAGGGCAAGTGCTCATCAGCCTGTCAAAGACTTCCTCACTGAGGCTCAGAGAAAGATAAAGGACTCTTCATGTGCTCTTCCACAGCCACACTTAAATACCTCGGCAAAGTTAACCAGGTTTTTATTATAATTTAGAATCACAGTCAACCCCTTTTGTTCTAAGAATGCACATGTCAGATATGGTATGGTAAAGTTGGAGCAGCCACAGAAGGAAACAGGAACAAGGCTCTGGATGAAGTTTATTGAACTTATGAATTACCTAGAGGAGGTCTTTGCATGCCACACAGGGTCACAGGAGAAAACACCAGGGTGGTCAGGAATGAGGGGAAGGTCCAGACCTCAGCCTTTATTGACAAATCCTGGGGAAATGCAAGTCAGGGCGGGGTGAACAGTTTTGTATTGGCTAGTTTAAGTAATTTTGGCATGCTATGAGTTGTAGTGGTGGTCACCTCTGTAACTTACAGTTTTACCTGGTGCCTGGCCCTGGATTGATTCAGGCAGAGGAAATTGCCTTCTGGGTGTCTGAGCCAGATAAAGAAGGCATGGCTCTGAGTTTGCTAGTTTGCATATCAAAGGTGTGCTCCTAGTGGGGCCTTTTGCTGTTGCTAGGAATTGGCTAATTCCAGGAGAGGCAGTCTCTCCCCAGCAGAAAGGTTTTTTAAGATGTCAAAACATAATATACAGTAAATTTAAAAATATATGAAATATACCTTTTCGACCTGTTAATTGAAAAGTAAGTTTCTCTGGACCCATTGCATCACTATGCCATCTAAATCCCCAGAATTGACCACTTACTTACCAGCATCTGTTTTATCTGTCCAGAAACATCTGTGTAAGAGGGAGAGAGTGTCATCGTCTTTATTTTTGTATAAATGCAGTTGTATTATGTATACTATTTTACAACCTTTTCCACTTCATATATGTTAGAAACTTTTTCCATGTCAACCTACACGTTTTTTTTAATGGCACCGTAGTGTTCTGTTTTTTTGGAGGCATAATTTACTTAACCAATTATCTTTTAATGGACATGTAGGTGGTTTCCAAGTTTTTTTGTTTTGCTTTTACAGAAATGATACCACGATAAGAATTCTTGTAAAAATATTTTAGTTTAGTTTGGGGGGTACGTATGTAGGGTGAAATTGCATCAGTGAAATTGTTGGGCCAATAGGTATGTACATTTTTTATTTTAAACATGTTTATGGAATTTCTCTCTAGAAAGGATCCACAATTTGCAGCCCTACCAGTAGATTGTAAGAGGTCCATTTTCTATTTTCTTGCCAGCACAGAACAATACTTTTTAACAAGTATTTTTTTAAGAAACATTATCTTGTGCTCTTTCTTCTATGTCCTTAAATGATTTAACAAGATAGGAATGTTCCACATATTTGGATTTGTTTTGTTTTGTTTTTGAAAACAATCCTTTTACTTTAGAATACTTTTAGATTTACGATAAAGTTGCAGAGATAATACGGAGACTTCCCAAATACCTTTCTCAGTTTCCCCCATTTTTAACATCATTCCTAATGCGTGGCACATTTTGTGAAAACTAGGTTAGCATAGGTACATTACTGTTAACCAAACTACAGACGTTATTCGGATGTCATCAGTTTTTCCATTGATGTCCTTTTGCTGTCCCAGAATCCAATACAAGATACCACAATGAATTTAGCACATCTCTATTTGTGTAAAAGCTTTTCTCTTACCCCCTTAATGTTACAGTGCTCCAGCTTGCTTCTCAAATGACCTTTGGGAGAGAAAGAAATCTCTTATATTTGAGTCATTTTATTTAATGTTACCCTTCCCACTTCCAAATGGAAGTTGAGATAGACTTTAGTAAAGTCACAGGCACAATAAGACCAAACAGTAATACAAGATCAAAGCCAGTGCTGGGAAGAAAAGGGTGAGCAAAGGGAAAATTGATTGGGAATTGACAGAGAAAACAAGGCACATGTGAGCATTTGAGCATGAAACTGGGGTCCGTGCTTCCTATTAGAGCCAAATGGCACAAATATAGTGAATTCTGTGATATTACTCATCTGGTGTTAGGTAGCATGCAAATCCAAAATTTTAAAATTTTTTCTATGCCTATTAAAGAGTTTATTATAGGGGCTTTTATGTAGGCAGCTTTCAAAGTGAAGTAAACATTATTTTCTAAATAAGCATTTCCAAAGTAAATCCACATAATTTTGTTCCCTGCTTTCTCTTTACAGAGGTCTCCTCTTTGGCTACTTGGATCATGTTTATCCCTCATAGTTCAAGGTTAAACTTGGATGTGTTTGGGGGGTACCTTCCTGGCAGCCCCAGGGAATATTTTCAGTTCTGCATCTCATTCGGGTACATTGCTTAGGAGTGGAGCTTGGAGGTTCAATTCTCTCTGTCCTGCTTGCCAGAGGATTAGAGACCAGACTGAACTGGCTCCCGAGGTTTTGCAGACCTTTGGAAAGCAGACAAACGGACTGCATCCTCTGTCCTGTCCCCTAGGTGAGATGGTACGTCAGGCCCGGGTCCTGGCCCAGGCTACTTCAGACCTCGTCAATGCCATGAGGTCAGATGCAGAAGCTGAAATCGACATGGAGAATTCAAAGAAGCTCCTGGCGGCAGCAAAACTCTTGGCTGACTCCACTGCTCGCATGGTGGAAGCTGCGAAGGTATCATGTGGGGTTTGGTTATTTGAAAGTGAGCACTAGCAAGTGTTAGGATTTGGAAGATGCCTTCAAGAGAGAGGATGGTCAGCTGAGAGTGCTTTATTGTTTTTTAAAAAACTATATGGCTTTGTAACATTTAACTTTGTTCAGGCGGCTAAGGTCATTGAACATCTGAATGAAACTCTTCATAGGTGTGGTGCTGACTCAGCTGTACACAGCAGAGGACCCTGCTTAGTGAGCGCTCTCATTCCATCAGGTCATCCCATTGCCTATGAACATCTGAATGAAACTCTTCATAGGTTTGGTGCTGACTCAGCCGTACACAGCAGAGGACCCTGCTTAGTGAGCGCTCTCATTCCATCAGGTCATCCCATTGCCTACATTGAAAGTGGAGGTTAATTTCAACTTGAGATTTTTCAACAGTAAATTCAGCTATACCTGTTTTCTTCCTGCAGCCCTAATGTTATGTCCTCATTTGACTTCTCAACTAAACTCCTGTTAAGATTTTACATAGTAGAGTGTTTCCCACTTCACTGTTCTTCAAATCCCAGGAGCAATTTTAAATATTATATAGGGATTTGAATAAAGAGTTAAGTTAGCTTTGTGCTTTTTGACAGCTGTGCTATATGGCATGATACTTCTAAAAGCCAACGACTCTTAACCAGGAGTCTGTTTCAGAGCCTCCTGTGAAATATTAAAATGTACAAGCCTCACCTCCACCACAAAGATCCTGATTCACAAGGTCACTGGTGGGACTGTTCTATGGGATATTCTGATGCATACCTCTAGGGGAGAACTGTTTTAAATGGGTAGGGCTATATTTTTCTGGTTTTTAAATTATGCATCTAGCACATCTTTCTTGTACAATTAATAGAAAATGCAGATAAGTGTAAAAAAGGAAATAAAAGTCACCTTCAACTTCCTGCCCCTAAGATAAAATTCTAAATGTATTTCTGTGCCCAGAAGATTCATTAAATGCCTCTCCACCTTGTCCTATCTTCCTGGTCTCCAGCGAAGTAGTAGAGAATCTCAACCAAGTATTTGAATTACTTCGCTTACAATGTACTGTGACATGCAGTGAACCACTTAGAGGACCTTTGCTGTCTGAACTCCCCATCGTGTTACCTAAGGGACTGATTGTTCAGAGATGCCTCAAGGCTGGGGTGAAGGGGAGCATCAAGGAGAGGACAGGTTCTGAACTTCCTCTGTGCCCTGATCCCTGTTTCAGCCAAGAAGCTGTGCTCTTAACCACCCTCTTTTAGCAAAAATACATGTATTAGAGTTTTGTATAGTGGTTGTTTTAAGGCTTTACTAGTTTCCTTTTTTTTTTTTCTTTTTCCCTTCTAAGTTTACATACAACTATTTCACGCAAACCTTCATGTTCACAGCAAATTACTTGCTAGACTGGAAAGAACCATAGGGAAAATCTAGTTAACTGCTTATTTTACAAATGAGAAAATTAAAACTCAAAAAGATTGATCCAGGACCAATATACACATTTGTTTTTTGATGTAACTGTTCATGAGGCCAATTCACTGAATTTACCGAGTTACCAAAAACTTGTTTCTTCTAAGTATTTATGTAATTTTTGGTTATTTATATGAGATGGGACAATGTTAAGTGTTTTTGTAAATTCTTTTAACTTTTAATTAAAAGTTGTCACTTTGTGACAGTATTTTAATTTGCCTAATTTGTTGAAAGCTAAAGAACATGTGATGGTTAGACTTCCAAAGAATGTATTTAATGTGTAGATAAAAATATATTTCATAATCAGTAACTAAGATTTCAGGCCAAGATTAGTACACCATATCTGATACACATTATAAAAAAAGATATTGCTGTGGAAGGATCCAAAGTATCTTCATGAATATGGAGTACAGAAATGTTGGTCCCCAGGTGCTTAAAATATAAAATTAAGGTTGATTTTTCACTTGAGGCATAAATAAAGGAGTGACTCAAAAAATACCCAGTGCCCAGGAAAAATAAAGTGACTTTTTAAAATAAACTTGGAAAAGAATACAAAAGCAACCCAAACAATCCTTTCACATGTGAAATGCAGAAGTAAGATATTTTTAATTGCTAGAAACACAAAATCAAGACTATAAAAGTGGTTAAGTCTGGAATGAAAAGGAGATTCTATTCAAGAGGATTGCCAAAATAATTATGTCACAGATGTCAAAACTGTTCTGTCAAGTATGAATTGCTATAACTTTTATATACAGTTAAAAGAAATAGTTTTTTGTAAATTGGTAAATTTGGCAAATGAGTCATTTGGAAAACCTGGACATTGAGAAAATTGATTTTCGATAAATCAGCATGCTGCTCTCTGCTGCCTTTCCTACCTCAAGAGTGAATATAATTGCCCTAAAGTGTTCATGGAAAGAAACCCGTTGTTTTGTACATCAAGCACAGGTTGCAAAACATCCAGGCCCTGTAGGAAAAATCTTGATTGCTGCTTTTATTGCTGGATGTGTTTTGAGTCTGTTGAATTATTGTGGAGTACAATTGTGTCCTCTCCCTCCATTACCTTTAGCCTTCCCTTTAGAATCCCACCCATCTAAATAAAATCCTCTTAGATTTCTGAGACACTTTCAACTAAAGCAACATAGCAAAAGGGTCATGGAGCTAAACAAGGGAAGTGTGGTGATAGGTGAACATGACGCCTACCTCTTTTTCTGCCAGGTTAAAGATGTCAGGTTTCTCTCATTAACTCAGTACAGTTGGGTACCAGCTCTACTTTGCTATAATTTCCAACTCAGGCTCTCTAGGAATGTGATTTCTAGGCATGCTCTTTAACAACATTTCCTTACAGTCTTTTTGGATGGCATTCCCATGTGGCCTCTCCTCCCCACCTCCCCCTACCCTGCCCCCTACTTCCTTCCCTCCACCCATGTGTTTATTTTAGCATCTTAGCCTTTCTCATTTACCCGTGTTGCAGAGTGTCTCAGCAGTGACATGAAGAGGTATATATCATTACTGTGTCTTAAAATGAAATTCTGAGAGAGGGTGAGAGGGGAGATTGATCTTAACATCTTTTAACCCATGGGTTTCTGACCACAGATTAATTTGTACGGATGACAAAGGCTATACGCTCAAGGGTTTAATTATTGCCATTGAATTTCTTACTGTTTAGCCATGCAGTTTTGAAACATCCCCTGGTAGATAATTTTTGTTACAAGAGAAAATTACTTTATCATAAAAATACTGCTTGCAGCATTTAGCTTTCCTTCCAAATACTTTCTTATGTTAGGAAAAAGTAATATTGAAGGCATGGATTCAGTGACAATCATGCTGCCCCCTGGATCACTTGAAATCTTTATTTTCACTTTGGCAGGGGGCTGCAGCCAACCCAGAGAATGAGGACCAACAGCAAAGGCTGAGAGAAGCTGCAGAAGGTCTCCGAGTAGCAACCAATGCCGCTGCCCAGAATGCTATTAAGAAAAAAATTGTCAACCGACTGGAGGTCAGGAAAGAGGCTGGCTTTGTAGGATGCCCATTTTAGGTTGCCAAGGGTTATTTAAAAAAACAGTTGAATTAACAAAGTGATGCCCATATAAAGAAAGCCAAATCAAGGTTAACAACACTGATGGTTTAGGTACTCTAAAGGCATTGACACAATTTGAAAAATTGCTTCAGTTCATGGCTTCAGAAAGCTAAAATCCTGTCTGAGTTTAACATTCAGGAATAGAATGCAGACAGTTTTCAAGAAGAACCAGGATCTTTTTTTCCCTGGCATTAAAGGGTGTACACATCTAGGAAGTATCTCTCTCTGAAAATGTTTATATTTCGTGGGAGGCAATGACTTTTTCAGGGCTTCCCATAGGATATGGGGACTTGGGAAGACTGGAGATGGGGGTCAGGCTTGGGTGGAGAGGTATGGAAGGAAATGAGCAGAAATATTTTTGTCATTTTTTGGAATATTTATTTTGACAAAAGAGTTGAAAATAGGAATAGGCACAAACTATGTAAGGAAACAGTTTCTCTCCTGAATGTACACAGGAGACACGCTAAAATTTGAGGGGTTGGAGGCCAAGAACTTGTCTGTCTAATGGGGAATCCTCCCAAATGCAGTCTGCTATATTCTGGAAGAAAAATTATCCTTGCAGTTCTTGGAAGGAGACGAGAGAATAAAGGCAATTAATTGCCCTGGTGGGAAGGCCTCTGCATTTCTGAACCAAGGCTTCCGAGTGTTGTGAGAGGAAAGTCACGGGCACCGGCAGTTGAGCTTGACACAGACAGCAGCCTGTGCCGCTTGTGGGATTTCTCTTTGTTCCTGAAACATTCAGACATGGTGCTGCTTATCAGTGCCATCATGGAATTGTCTCGTGTCTTTTTGAAGAAGACAAATGAACATCAGAACCTGAGCTTTCAGGCATGCCTGTCTTTATCCCTTGTCTCAGGGAATGTAAACCCAAGGAAGACAGCAAGCCTTGTGAGGTCAAGATCAGAATGGGTTTTTAAAAGGCGGAGTTTGTCCTCAGAGTTCCCTTCGAGCAGCAAACCCTTTTGTGGAAATGACATGTAGCATGTGCATGTGTGTATGTTGGCAAACGCAAACCCTGACTGGAAATGACATGTAGCATGTGCATGTGTGTATGTTGGCACACGCAAACCCTGACTGGTGCCTCTCCATCTCCTCTGCAGGTAGCAGCCAAGCAGGCTGCGGCAGCAGCCACACAGACCATTGCCGCCTCCCAAAATGCAGCGGTTTCCAACAAGAACCCTGCAGCCCAGCAGCAGCTCGTCCAGAGCTGCAAGGTGAGGTTCCGGTGCACACAGGGCTAGGTCTGCTGTGCATGACCCTGATAGCATTAGAACACCAAGTGCCCCGGTAACTCAGTTAAGACAGATTACCCAGGCCCCTAATCCAGTTTGCTTCAGCTCCCATGTTCCAGGTGTACACACATCTGCTTTTTGTCCATTAAGTGAATGGCCTGTGTTTGGAGCAGGGAAGGATGCACGGTTGTTTCCAGCATTGCCTTTGTCTGCATTTCCTTTTCTTTTGGAGAGACTAAATCAAAGGGGATCCATGAAAACACCATTTTGGGGCTCTGAAATAAGTAATGGAGGCTGATTTCTGCAGTGGCTCTCTTTGAGAGGCGGGCCTTCACATTCAGTCTTTACTCATCCTAGCAGGGTTCACTTCCTCCTCTCTACTCATTTCCCCTTGAGGATTTATTTCTTTGTGTCTGGCCTCTGTGACTTTGGTCTTTGGTGCTTTTATTGTTGCCCATTAGTCTCTGTCCTTCCAAGGCTGGGCCTTGATGCTCTTTTGAGGCCAGCATACTGCAAAGGGCGCAGTAGACATCTCTGCTGCCTTCTCTCGGGGCCCAGGGAGGCAGTTCCTCCAGGACACCTCTGAACAGTGTCAGGTGGGCAGTATGTGTGACTGGAGTCTCCTGAACGTGTCTGCGGTTAGCAGTGGAGCTGGGTGGGTAGGTGTATCTCATTGTGCCTGGGTTATGAAAGTTAACTGTACAATCTCTCCTCCTTCAAGTCTCCTCTGTAAAATAATGATTCACGTATGAGGGGTGTTGCTGCTTCTACTTAATGGCAGCTTTACTTCTAAGGGGGAACCTGCTGGAGCTCTCTCTTCCTGATTCCAGTTCTCCAAGGCCAGGCCTCTGTTGTGGACTGAATGTGCTGTAGGAGGAAAAGCCTAAGTGATGCAAGGTCCCATGCCCACTGTCCTTGGGTACTCTGCAGGTAGAAAAGGAGTTTTGCTGAGAGTGAGGCTCCTGCTGGGCGTGGGGAGTTTGTTTCCTGTTGGGGCAGCAGGGGTGGAATAATGGCATTTCCCCTTCTTAGGGAGCACATCTTACTCGTGTCCAGGGAAATGCCGCAGGATGAGCTGCTGTCCTCTCTTTTGCAAAGATACTGGAGATCATAGGTCTCTTGAGTGTCACTGCCAGGAAATGAGAGTATTACTATTTACCAGGCTGAGGTGGAGAGGGCAAAGTAGACCAAATTACTAGAACCAGCAGACCTAAAGGGCTGGGGGAAAATTCCATGGAAATATTTTTTTTAACCCTTGCTGGAACAGGAAAAAATGTGTTACCAGGCCAAGATGCCCTAGGGATCTTTATCAGCAACGATAGCAATGGTGCTGTGACTCCTGACAGCTTTGTTAATTGGGGGGTGTGGACCAAGAGGGGAGTGTGGAAGGGACACAGAAGGTAAAGGGCTCATCTCCTGAGGCACCATGAGAGACAGTTACTTGACAGCAGTCCTGCCTCACAGAATGCTGCTCCTCTCTCCCTTACCCTAGGCTTTGGGTTTTCCAGTTTGAGAAATAAGAAGTGCTACTTAGAGAAAGGGGGGGCTGTTACAACATGAAACCTGCTGCACAAAATGCATACCCGCTAGGTAAGAGATCAGAACACTTAAATATGCGGTTAGCTGAGCATTTCTCTCACTTTCTTCTGGTCATGGGACCATACGAGTTCAGTTTCTCCACCTATGAATTGTGTAGGTTCTAAGTTTGCAACTCCTATGAGCCAGGATGATGTGAGTTGCAATTAGGAATATTCTTTCAAGGCCTCCTGATAGAGAATCATCTTCTGCAGAATGTATTGAGAACTTTGGGATCACAGGATAGAGTGTGTGGGGGAGAAGACCCAAAGAATGAGGTTCAGTGTCTGTAAGGACCCAGATGGCTAAACGTGCTACATAAATCTAAGGACTTCCTGGAACTGGCACCCCCTGGAGTGGATGGCACAGACAGAAAACATATCACTCAGATCATTTTCTAACCTCTTTTATTAATTCCACCATTCTAACTATGCTCAGTGTTTATTCCATTGCTTCCTGTAGGCAGTGGCTGACCACATCCCTCAGCTGGTCCAGGGGGTGCGAGGGAGCCAAGCTCAAGCAGAAGACCTCAGTGCCCAGCTGGCGCTCATCATCTCCAGCCAGAATTTCCTCCAGGTAACGCAGAAGCACTCACCTGGGTCTTACTCAGAGTCCCCAACCAGACAGGGACTTAACAAATTCCACAGCCTCAGCTAAGTCTGCACAGTCATCAGGCCTCGAAGACCTCCTCTTTACATTTTCAGTTGCAAGAGAGGTAGGTTTAGCTTAGCAAAGCAGAATGCTAGTAGGCGGGCAAACTGCCTGGGGGAAACAGTACATGATCCATTTTTCTCAGGAGCATCATATTTATTTCTTCTCTAAGAGAAAAATCATTAAGTGGCAAGTTGTGATGAACAGCCTAGGACTACGTATTGCTGTAGTTTCCTAGTTTGCAGAGTGCCCAGTGCTATTGTTCATGGACTGGGTAGAAAGAAGTGCTAAGCCCATCTGGTCCAAAGATATGATCATAGTTTGTGGCAATTGTATAATTAGTCAGTACCGTCCATCTTGGGGCAGGGGTGCGCAGGGCCAGATTTATTTTAAGGAAAGTCTAGTAAAATGAGAATACAAAGTTGTGGCAAAACTCCCTTTTACATACTTCTTGTATTCAAGTCTCTCTACTTTATGGGTACTTTTTCTCCACTCGTATCTCATAAACAGTTGATATGATTAGGCAGTTCCATTCCTTATCCCTTTCCAGTTCAACTGATAGTTGCAGGAGCCAGTCTTACATCTATTTGGTTAATTTTTCAAGTACTGTAACTCCGTCATGCATAGATAAAACATGAAAGTTTTGATGTATTTTTTCACCTTGTAACTTACATGCACACAGACTCAGGAATTTAAATAGGAATTTGTTATATATAGACCCTTTGCATTTTTCATGTATATCGTGAGCCTTTATGATTTTGAATAATCCTCTGTTATATGGTTGTACTCTGCATTTAAATATTCTCCCATTGGGCCAGCCCGGTGGTGCACTCGGTAGAGTGCGGCGCTTGGGAGCACGGCAGCGCTCCCGCCGAGGGTTCGGATCCCATATAGAGACCGGTCCACTCACTGGTTGAGCGCGGTGCGGGCACGACACCGAGGGTTGCGATCCCGTTGCCGGTCGCGGTACAGGCGCGACACTGAGGGTTGCAATCCTGTTACCGGTCACGAAAAAAGACAAAAAGGAAAAAATAAAAATATAAATAAATAAATAAATATTCTCCCATCACTGGACATACAGTTTTTTCAATTTTTTGCCATCATACAGCCTGTGATTTATTTTTTAAAAACTTTGCTCAAATCTTTGTTTCCCTCTTGAATTATTTCCTCAGGGTAAATTCCTAGAAATAGGATTGCAAGTAGCTTATTTTTCTCTTTGGGATACTGAGAATTATGACTTGTACAAGGCATTTCTTTTTGCCTTTGGGCAGTTAGAGAGCCTGGAGCTGGCCGTGTGCACTGTCCCCACCCTTGCAGGATCATGGGGTGTTATGATAGATCCTAGTACCACTCTGTCCCCTCCTTGTTTTCCCTTTTACTTTCGTTCTTTTAACTTTACTGTTGTAGACACTAGATCTTTGCTAGAAAAAGGCAAGATTAATAAAAATAGAAGTTGAACTGTCAGATCAAAAAGTTTGTTCATTTAAAATTTTCTTCATATATGTTGTAAAATTTCCCTTCCAGAAAGATGAAGAAATCTAAATTTACAACTAGCAGTATATGGAGTATACTTTTTTTTTTTTTTTTGTATACTTTTTTAAACATCTTATGTAAGATGGAGAATTAAGCATTTTTTTAAAAAAATGTTTTTGCCAATTTGCTCTGTAAAATTCTTACTTGATTTTGTAATTCCTTGATTTGGAGTATACTTTTTTAAACATCTTATGTAAGATGGAGAATTAAGCATTTTTTTTAAAAAATGTTTTTGCCAATTTGCTCTGTAAAATTCTTACTTGATTTTGTAATTCCTTGATTTTTACAATGTTAAACATTTTTTGTGTTTGCGTTATTTGTTTTTATATGAAATTGTCTATTCATGGTTTTGTACACACGTTTTTTCTTATAAATACTCATTAATTTTTTAAATATTAAAAATATTAACTTTTGTCTTTAGTATTTATGATCTGGCACTGAAATTGCTAGAACTTTTCTAAGAGCAGTTTTATGACATATATATTAAAATCCTTAAAAGTATGTATATTCTGTGATCCAGAAATTCTACTTTTAAAAATTTATACAAAGAATATTATGTGTACAAATATTTGGCTTCAGAGGTGTTTATCATACCATTGTTTATTACATTGCAAAAATAGAAACATGAAAAACAATAGGGAATTGAGAAATTTTAACAGATGTATACATTGGAATACTATATAGCTATTAAACAGGTAGAATATGTGAAATAAGGAAGATTGTAAAATAGAACAAATAGTATGATCTTATTTTTGAAAATACATGTACACATACCCAGACATCCATGCATAGTGAAATTATTTTGATTTGTGAGATGTGAAGTTATTTTATTTGTTTTATTTACCTTCATTTTTCTTTTTTATCAGAACATAATTGATTGTACATATCTGTGGGGTACAGCATTGAATACCAATACCTGTGTGCAATATGTGATACTCAGTCTGTTGGGTGTACTTGAGACTCAGAATAAAGAGCTATTCCAAGAAACACAAAGAAACCTATTTAATAAGGAATTCTCTTTGAAATCTGTTTTAAGTGAGAATTTTGAGCCACTGTTCTAATTTGGGGAACTCGCTGGTGTCTACTACTCCTTTTTCTGAGAGCACAGTAAATTCTGGCTGATAGGAGGCATTGCTGTTTGGTCTCTCCTCTCTGCCTCTTGCTGCCCCAGAACCGTCTTATTTTCTGCTCCTCACTCTACAGCCTGGAAGCAAAATGGTGTCCTCTGCCAAAGCTGCAGTGCCCACCGTGAGTGACCAGGCCGCGGCCATGCAGCTGAGCCAGTGCGCCAAGAACCTGGCCACCAGCCTGGCGGAGCTGCGCACCGCCTCACAGAAGGCAAGTGCAGCCCTGTCACAGTGGTAGCTGGTCAGGAGTGGAGCTTTTCATTCTGTGCTGCTGGTGTGGCATAGGTGCTACCTGGGGCCTGAACACTGCTGGATATGACAGAGTTTGCATGACCTTTAAAGATGCCCCTGCAGATTGGCTTTTACCGCCTGGAGCCACTATCTCCCAGACGTGGTTATCATCTCCGCTTACAGAGGAGTTGTGTTGGGCTATCTGAGGTTGTGTGCCTCCTCCCCCTCCTCCCACATCCTGGGATGAGCAGTGGTCCACGTTCCAGTCTTGGGGAGACTGGCAGTCGTCAGTGTCTTGGTGCCAGGCAAATTGTGGGCCAAAGTAAGTGATCTATATTTCCCAGGTATCATCTTGTGAACTTAATAACAAGTTATTTAGGCAGAAAAATCTATTTTAGGGGGTTATCTTGACTATCTTTTTTTCCCTGAAAAGTTTTCACATTTTACATGGAAGCATTCTTTTTTAACAAAGTCCTCAATAGAACAGAATTAGAAATAAATGAATTTCTGTCTCTGGAACTCATTAATTACTGAAGGACCTCATTACTACTTTGAAGTGGCATTAGCATAAAGTTCTAGCATGAATCATTTCTCCTCATTGTAGCAATCCCTTTATAGAAACAAGCAGCTCATAAATTGGTAAGGGAAGAAGGTAGATGCTGACTTGCATTCTTAATAAGAGCAGTGTACAACATTGCCAAAGAAAAATATCCAGAGCTGTAGGTTATATCCAATAAAAAAGTATTGTGAGCTGTGATTCTCAAAGAGAGGTCCTGGGACTGTCTGTACTGGAATCACCTTGGAAGCTTATTAGAATGCAGGTTCCTGGGCCTTGCCTCTGAGCAACCAAATCAGAATCTCTGGTCTTAGAACCTGAACATCTGTAATTTAACAGGTTTCCTCAGTGCGTCTTAGACACACACTAACATCAAACATTTGCTCTGGAGCAGTGGACTTCCACTGGGTGCAGGAAGACACTGTGAGAGCTTGTAAATATCTTCTTAATGTAGCGTAAAGGTTGAGTGCAGGCTATGGAGTCAGACTTCCTGCATTCGAATTCTGGTCCGGCCACTGACTAATTTTGTGACGTGGACACGTTAGTAATCTCTCTGTGCCTCAGTTTCCTCACCTAGTAATGCTGGCACATAGAAATCAGTTAATTAGTATTTACTGCTCCTGTTGTTACTATTAGCTAAAAAAGGAAAGAAATTAAGATTTACCTATTTATAATCAATAGGTACTGATTAATAATTACATGTGTATATAATTTATTAATGTGTGTATTGGCAGCATGCTGTCAAAACATTTGGAGACCAGTATTTTAAATGACCAACAGAGTGAAGTTGTTTTCTTAAAACAAATTACTAAAGACAAAACTTTTATAATCTTCAGTATGGAAAGATAGTGATTTATAAACTAGAAATTTGTAAAGGTAGACTTGCCCCCAGAGTCTTGGGTTTTCTCATTCATTCATTCATTCATTCACCGCATACTTCCCAAGCTTCTACGTACACACATACTATGATAGGTGTCCTATCTCTAGCACCCAGGCACAGTGAATAAAGGATCCTCTAAATGTGACATGCAGATGCATTTTAGATAAAAATAGCTTCAAGGAAACTAAGTATATTAAGTTATGAGACATTGATTATTTAGGGAAGTTAAGACTAAGGTTCTGACTGAGGATGATTTTGCTTTCTTAAGAAATACATACTTAGTACCCTTGCCTTCTCTTTCTTAAGAAATACATACTTAGACATACTTAGTACCCTTGCCTTCTACTGCTAGATTTAGAGTGTCATTGGGTACATCCAGACAGACATTTCGTGTGTTGCAAAGTATGGGGATACTTTTCCCAGGCAAACTATGTACACATACTGTCAACTCTGTTGACAGGCCCACGAAGCCTGTGGTCCTATGGAAATTGATTCAGCTCTGAACACTGTGCAGACACTTAAGAATGAACTGCAGGATGCCAAGATGGCTGCGGTGGAGAGTCAGCTGAAACCGCTTCCTGGGGAAACGGTAAGCTGTCAGAGCCAGCTGGGGCGTGGGTTCCACCTCTTGTTATGATCATGTTGAGTCATTTTTAGAAGCTGGTATGCCTAGATTTCAAGCATTTTTAATGCAAAGCCCTAGAATAGCCACCTTTCTTTAGAACTGTATTCTAAAGATAGAGATGTGTGTAAAGATAGAGATGGCCCTCTGGTGATGGTTCAGTGTGCGCTTTCCTGGGGTTTGGCTGAGGATGAACAGGCATCTGTTAGTATGTATCCCTCTATTTCATAAATAAAACAAATGCTAATGTTACGCAAAAGATGATCAAGAGTCGTGATGTATAAAACATTTACTTTTTTAATGTAAGATGCTGGGATGGACAACAGCAAAAATACTTAATGCAATAAAGCCACAATTGCAAGTGGACTGGTGGCACCAGAGATCTAATTTGATCATCATATGATGCCACTTTGATGCTTATGTCAGGGTTTTCTTGGCTAAAATTTTACCAATCCTCCTTATTTGTGTACTTGCTTTCCCAAATTACTGAGCATTGCTAATAAAATATCACTATTTACTGAGCACCTGTGAAGCACTGTACCTACACACACAGTGTAGTTTATCCTGATAGAAAACTTAATAAGCGAGTTTTATTCACCCTGTTTAGAAGTTTAGAAAACACCAGTGCAGAGGTTGTCAGTGTTCTGCCCAATGTTATGTGCCGGTCAGTGGCAGAACCAGGGTTTGAATCCAGACGTTCAGGACTTCAGAACCCATGCTCTTGGTGACCCATGTTGAGTACTTCTCTTACCTACTGCTGCTCTTTGAATGAACTGAAGACTTTCAGAATATAGAGGGACTTCAGGAACACCTTATGTACCTTTAAACAATGCCTTGTACATAGGAAGCACTCAAAAAGAATTCGTTAAATCAAGTTACCCCTAACTAGGAAGATGAGGAAACTCAGGCTCAGAGAGGTTAAGTCACATAACTAAGGTCACCCAGCCACTGACAGAGTTTGGGCTAGCAGCTTTGCCATGTGGTCCAGGTGTCTCTTTGCAAACTCCTATACTCTGGGGAGCCCAGGAGAGGCTGGCATGACATGAATTCTACCTTTTCATAAGACAACTGGTCAGTTAGAATACAAGAAATACCCCGTAATTTTTAAAGAAATTGTATGTCCTAAAGAATGTGTAGACTGTGTTATAATTTATACTCTGGGGAGCCCAGGAGAGGCTGGCATGACATGAATTCTACCTTTTCATAAGACAACTGGTCAGTTAGAATACAAAAAATACCCCGTAATTTTTAAAGAAATTGTATGTCCTAAAGAATGTGTAGACTGTGTTATAATGTTAGCTATACTGGACCAGGCTCTGTTTTTTATTTGAAGGCGCTGCCTCTCTTGAGAAACATGTTGCAGAGTTAAAAATGCATTTGTTCTCTGATGCCCTTTTTGCACAACTTGTCGTGCACATAGAAATCCTCTTCCAAAGTGTCCTCATCCAGTTATCAAATAATTCACCATACCCTCAGCCTTTACTGACTTTGTTCTCTGGGTTTTTTATTCAGTTGACAAAGAAAGATGACATGCTGTTCGTGGGAAGCCAGCACGTTGCCCGTTTTCAGAATCTCATTTACCTCTCCAAACCACTATTTCTATTGCATTTCCCTTCCGTTGGAACTCCTCAAAGTATAATGATCAAATTGAACAATGTTAATGGTCCCTCATGCCAGGAAGGTGGTGCAGCTGGATGTCTGCCCACTTCCTGCCAAGGCATAATTAATTCCTGCTATGGATTTGTTGCAGACTTTCTAAATTAGCTTCTAAAGGCATAATGCTAATAGCTACCATTTGTTAAGAACCCACATTAATTCCCTGAAAACCTTCTGAGCAAGGTATTATGATCTCCTCAGGAAACATAGGCACAGAGAGGTTCTGTAACTTACCTAATCTCACACAGCTAGTCACTGGTGGGAAGGGGCAGGGGTGAGCACCCAGGTTTGCTTATTCTACTGCACGGGCCATTTCTCCCATATCCCCCTGCTGCTGGTTAGCACCCTTGCTGTATTAGGTGAGAAAGAGCTAAGACTCAAGGTTTGATCTGCATTATTTTTCTAAATCATGCTAAGACTTCAGTGGATGTTTCTTTTCTTCTAAGTTCTCTTCCTCCTTTGAATATTCTCACAGCTGGAAAAATGTGCCCAGGACTTGGGCAGCACATCTAAAGCAGTGGGTTCTTCCATGGCACAGCTCCTGACCTGTGCTGCTCAAGGCAACGAGCACTACACAGGTGAGACTCTCATGCCCCGCGATGCCATGTGGCCAGCTGCAAGCCACTTGGCGAGAGTGGGGTGGGGGTTGGGGGAGTTCATGGATTTCACAATAAACCTGACTTTCCCCCCCCCCAGCAGTTCACCGCATATTTTTTCAAGCACTTTCCACTTGCTTGTTACTGGGCTTAATACTAAACATACAAAGACTAGTAGGATGCCCCCAACCTATTTGTGGGTCACTCCTATCAGACTGTAAACAAATAGTAATTATAGACTTCTAGGACTATCTGTGACTCCTGAAATCCCACAAAAGTTAAAGGAATAAAAAAGGTCAAAGAGAACAAAAGATGACAACAAATGGGATGTCAACAGAGTTTTCGAAGATGGCAGGAGACAGGTGGTAGTAACTGATAGAGCCAAATGAACAGAAACCCGAGGGTCTGCAGGGGCAGGGGAGCCAACAAGAAGCAAGCTGATTCATGCTGCCAAACCTTGGGCGTGAAAGGGGATTGAGCATTGGCCACGCCAGGTGCCCCTGAAGGCAGGAGACTCTTTAAACAGGAGTCTGTATAAGGAACAGATTGTGTAATTATCAACTCTAAGAAAAGCAGGAAGTTATATTAAAAAGGAAATGTTATCATAGTAGGAAGTCTACATATATCTAAAGTTTAAAACCAGGAAGTTTCAGTATAAGCACATTACTTAAAAATATGAAATATTGGAAGAAAGCTTAAAGAACTTGAGTGGCTCCAGGCATGGGAATCAGGTGGGGAAGAGTGGGTTACCGGTTATTGCTTTTGTTATAGGGTAGTACTGCTTGACCTTTTTTTGTAATACGTACTATTATTGAAGTATGACATACCTACGGAAGATAGCACAAGTCCTAAGTGGATACCTTCACGAATTATCACAATCAGTGCCCTAAGGAGGCCACCACCAAGATCAAGAAATAGAACATTTCTGGCATCCCAGGTGTGGCCTTGTGCCACCTCCCAATGGCTGTTATGGTAGTACTGCTTGACCTTTTTTTGTAATACGTACTATTATTGAAGTATGACATACCTACGGAAGATAGCCCAAGTCCTAAGTGGATACCTTCACGAATTATCACAATCAATGCCCTAAGGAGGCCACCACCAAATCAAGAAATAGAACATTTCTGGCATCCCAGGTGTGGCCTTGTGCCACCTCCCAATGGCTGTATCCTCTCTCCTTTCCCAGAGGTAGACACCCATGACTTACATTAATTTTGCCTGATTTTGAACTATGAACAAATGGACTCATACAATATGTGTTCCTTTGTGTCTAGCTTCTTTTGCTCAGCGTTCTGTTTGTGCGACTCATTGACGTTGCTTTCTATAGTATTTTATCATATGAATATACCTGTCATTATTCTTTATACTGTTGATGGGTATTTGGGTTGTTTCAAAAAACACTGCTATGAAAAATTCTAGGACATGTTGTTCAGTGAACATAAGTAAGTATTTTCTAAATACATAGGAGTGGGATTGCTGGGTCAGAGGCTGGGCATGTATTCAGTGCATTCCTTTCAGCAGTGTATGAAAATTCCAGTTCTGCAGCCTTGTCACCACTTTGTATTGTCTATCTTTTAATTTTAGCCCTTCTGATGAGTGTGTAGTAGTATCACATTATTGTTTTAATTTGCATTTCCCTGATGAACACTGTGATTGCGGACTTTTTCATATGTTTATTGGTCACTTTGTGAAGTATGTGTGTCTTGTTCATTTTTGAAAACTTGGGTTATCTATCTTTTCCTTATTTGTAGGAATCTTTGTCACTTATATGTATTTCTTGTATCTTGTGGCTTCCTTTTTATGCTCTTAAATATGTTTTTTGGTGAACAAAAGTTTTTTTAATATATATTTTAATAGAGCCCAGTTTACAGTTCTTTTCCTTTATGGTTAGTATTTTTTGTTTCCTATTTAAAAATGTTTGCCTATCCAAGATCACGAAGATAATCTCCTCTGTCATATTCTAGAACTTTATTGTTCTACTTTGTATATTTAGAATGCCAATCCATCTAGACTTGAGTTTTGTATGTACAATAGGGTTCCAGTTTAATTATTTTTCTACATGGATGTCCATCTGAGCCAGCACCACTGATTGAAAGGACTGTCCTTTCCCCAGTAGTCTTTAGAGCCACTTTGTTGTAAAGGAAGTGAATGTATATGCATGGGTCGATCTGTGGCATTTCTGTCCTTCTACATTAATGTAATCGCCTATTCTTATTAGTACCACATTTTCCTAGTTACTGTAGTTTTATCCTAAGGCTTAATGCAAATCTTCCTTTGTTGATCTTCTTCAAGTTAGTGTTGACTGTTCTTGGCTCTTTGCATTTCCACATAAATTCAAGAATCAGTCTGTCAATTTCTACAAACAAACCCACTTTAAAAAAAAATTGGGATTACATTGGATCGATTTAAGGAGAATTGACATCTTTACATTATTGTGACTGCCAGTCTGTGAATGTGCTATGTCCATTCATTTAGATCTTCCTTTCCCTCAATACAGTTTTATAGTTTCTGCATAGAAGACTTTTTTGGCTGTGTGCATGATATATCTTTTCCCATCCTTTTACTTTAAGTTTTTCTGCATGCTTACATGTCATGTGTATCTTGTGAGCTTGTAGTCGTTCTTTAGGGGGAGGAGGGATTGTTTGTTAGTGTAGTAATCTTTTTCTTTCAATTGGAGTATTTTTTCTATTTGTATATAATGTAATTACTGATGTGTTGGCATTTGAATCTGTCATCTTACTATTTGTTTTCTATGTGTCCTACCTATGGTAGTTTCCTTTTTCTCTTTTCATGCCTTCTTTCACATTCTTTCCATTTGTTAAATTCTGTTTCCTATCCCTTGATTAGCTAATTAGTTGTACATTCATTTACTGTTCTCTGATTTTTTTAAAGTCTGATGTAAGTTATTTTGTTTACCTCTTCTTGGACAGTGCAAGAATCTCAGGGCACTTTACCTTCTCTCTACTCATTTGTTGCTATGTGTTTTAATTCCATACGTATTTTAATCTCCTCAATACAGTCTCAGTATTGTTTTATACAGTCAGTATTCGTTTAGATTTACCACCATATTTATTCTTTACATTGCTCTTCATTCCTTCTGCATTTCCACGTACTTCCATCTGGAATCATTTCTCTTCTACCTGAAGAACTCCCTTCACTGGGAACAAATTCTCTGTTTTTGTTTGTCTAAAAATGCCTTTGTGGCCTTTATTTTTGGTGGATAATTTCACTTATTGTAAAATTTTAGGTTGGCAGTTATTTTCTTCCAGCACTTCGAAGATGCTATTCCATTGCCTTCTGGTTTCCTTTATTTCTGTTGTGAAGTCACCTGTAAAGGTAATGTGGTTTTATTTTTCCCTCTGCTTGCTTTTTTCAATTTTCTGTCTTTGGTTTTCAAGCAACAAAAGCCTAGAGGAATTTCCTTGCATATTTATCTTTCTTTGGGTTGTAGTACGCCTTGAAAATACATTTTGCTGTCTTATGTCAGTTTTTGAAAACTCTCAACCTTTCTATCTTCAAATATTGCTTCTGCCCCATTTTCTCTCTTCCTCTTTATAAACTCCAGTTACCACATGTGTTAGACCTTTTCACTGTGTTTTTTACATTTCCTATGTTCTTTCCTATATTTTTCATCATTTTTCTTCTCCGTGCTTTATTAATATTTGCTTTTGATCTATCTTCCAGCTCACTGTTCCTCTCTTTAGCTGTGTCTATTGTGCTTTCAACCCCTTCTTTTGAGATTTTAATTTTAAATGTCATATTTTTCAGTTTTAGAATATCCATTTGATTGTCTTATTGTTTGTTTCTCTGAAGTTCTGTATCTTGTCATCTGATTTCTTCAGCATATTTATCACAGTTATTTAAAGTCCAGGTCCAATAACTCTAATATCTGGATCACCTATGGGCCCATTTTTGCTGTCTGTTTGGGGTTTTCCTCCCCCCTCTTTGTTTTTAGCCATTGGTCTTGTCTCCTGGTATATCTGATTCTTTTTTTTAATTAGTACTAAGCTTTGGTATTTTAAACTATGGAGACAATTTAAGGCCCTGAATTGTGTTTCATTCCCTATATAGGTTAGTCTTTGCTAAGCCAGTCTTTACTAGTCTGGTAGGTGGTTAAGACAAAGACATCACCATAATAAGCAGGGACTGAGCTGATTGGATATTGTGAGGACTATTTCCAGTTTACCCCTTAGGATGTAACCCTTTGTGTGTCCCACCTGAAAGGCTGTCATGTTTAGGACTATTCTGTTTTTTTGGCTTAGAACTATACTTTTTATCTTCCTAGCCCCATGAGATTTCAGGAAGTTTTGCCCAGCTTTTTACTTCTTGGCAACAGTTCACAAATTAGCAAATGCCTTGAGGGAAAAAGCAACCCTGAACATTGGACTCACCTCTGTGTTTTTCTTCTTTTCACGATCTTGGCTCTCTTTACTGTGGTGCCTTGGTATCTTTCCAGTGCCTTCAAATACATGTTTTATGTATGGTTTCCAGTGTTTCTGGTTGTTTCTCTGTGGGAGGCTTGATTTGAAATAAGTTATTCTGCCATTACTACAAAGAAAATCCTCTTCGATCTTTAAAACTGTGTACATTTATTACTTTGAAAATAAAAATTAAAAAGAGCACATTTTTGCTGAATGCAAGGGATAAAAAAAGAGAAACAGAAAAGAAAAATTAAAATATTTAAAAGAGCTCAATAGGAACACAAAAGAAGTTATGGCATAGTGTAATAATACAATAGTATAATCTACAATACAATAAAACCTACAATAATAACAATGTATACAATTCTGTCCTGGTGGGAGGGTAAGGGAAGTTTTCAGAATGTAATTGACACCTGACCAGGGTTTTGAGGATTGTTTAGGACTCCTTTAGTGTTCTAACAGAAGGAAAAGTATGTGTAAAGTCTTATAAAGCATATGTGAGAGATTTAAATTCTAAAAACTTGCAAACATTCCCGAAATCTTACCAGATTTTGTGTAGAT